CAGGCAGAACTGTGATAAAGAAGCACTGGTTAATGGTAAATAACTGCTCCCAGTGACGGGAGAGAGGTGTGGCCAGCCAGGGGCCCCCTGTGAGCTCACAAGATGTAATCTGCCTCCACTCTGGAGTGACCTCTGCGAGGTGACAGACACGCTAGCTCGTCTCTGAGCCACTGATTCTAGGGCCTGTCAGACCCAACCATCCCTCTCCTCTCTCTCCCAGACTCGATGTCCACCTGCAGGTGTCTGGTGTTTGCTGACACTAATTACATGTTTTGAGTCTTAATAAATATTCTCCGTTAAGAGTTGGCTTGGTGGTCTGGACCATCAGGACCCCCTGGTATTTTTAACTCACTTGTTCTACTTATTTTGTTTCTGCGTCTGTTTTATTACTGGCCTGTCTCTGGGTCGGAGGTGCTGCCCTAGCAGGAAACCACCCTATGGCCCCACAGTGTCCCGTGTTCTCTCCGGCTCTCCCGACATGACTCCATGCTGCACCAGACCACGGAAATCACTTAACGATATCCTTAAGAAATGTCCAGCGGGTGAACGGCCATTGCTTATCTCTTTGCACTGACTTGGGTAGATGCCTGCCCTCTTCTGTCACACCTTTATTCTCTCAGCTTGCTGTCTGGGTCACCATGTTTCAGTGTATGTCCTGAGTCATGTGTCCATTTCTGAGCCACTGGTCAGTAGCAGCTGCAGAACTGTACTTCGTAAGTAAGTGTGAGAGTCAGAATACTGTTGCTGAAAAAATGCCCACGTCCTAATCCCCAGAACCTATGAATATAGTACATTATGTGGCCAAGGGGAACTAAGGCTACAGATGGAATTAAGCTTGCTAATCAGCTGCTCAGGTAGAGACATTATCCTGGATTATAGATGGCCCTGATGTAATCACAAGTGTATTTAAAAGTGGAAACAGAAGGCAGAAGAGAGTCAGAAAGAAATTCTGAAGACACTACACTGGTGGCTTTGAACACAGAGAGAGAAGGCCATGAGCTAAAGAATGCTGGTGGCCTTTACACAGGTAAAGGGAAGGAAATGGATCCTCCAGTAGAGCCGCCAGAATGAACACAGCCTGGCTGACCCCCGGGTTTTAGCTTGTGAGGCTCATTTTTTGACTACTGACTTAGAGTCACTAAGTTTATGACAATTTGTTACAGCAGCAACAAGAAACTCATACAATAAGCAAATATTCCATGAGATCAAATGACACTTCCTCCAAAGAAAATCTGAAACTTGTCATTTATAAAAACTGAGACATTATGAATACTCTCAGAGCAACAGCCAACATGAAGCTTAAAAACAATGATAAAATCACTACGTTCAAAATAGTTTCCAGTATTTTTTCAAAACAATGGCATTATTATCTCTCTTTATTTTAGAAGTTAGTGAATCGACTGGGGCAACACCCTGACAATCACTCCACACAAACTCCATTATGAGGGGCAGGTTACAATGAGGCGCTCAGCAAAACACCGCATCTCTTCCACGCATTTCTCTCCTGTATTTGGACAGGTAATCAGAACTGTGCCAGGGAAGACAGCACAAAAATGTTCTCTTACCTGACAATACGGTTGCTGAATTTCCATCACCGATTAGGTATAAACAAATGGAAATATTTCTTATTCAATTAAATGCAATAACCTTCAT